TCCTGGCCCCTGACCATTCACTTGACTTTGGGGAACCTCCCCTCTTGACCTCCACCTGCCTCTGGCCACACAGCATCTGTCCCTTCCCTGCCAAGCTTCTGAGTTGTCTGCACGCGGTCTGTGTCACCTTCATCCCGCTGACCTCTGCCTCCTGCCTTCAGTAACCCCTTGACCAGCTCCTGATAAGGTGGCTGTTGACCTTGGGGTCACCATTTCCGATAAATGTCTAATGGCCTTTATCTAACTTCTCCTTTCTTCTGGCCACTTCTCAGTGTCTGGACCAGCACTCTCCTGCTTTTCCTCCTTGTTCCCTGACTATTTCTTCCTCTCCACACGCTCTCCGCACCCCCATCTCCACCACCACGTGCTGAGGGCCATCTGCGGGGCAGTAGGCCTGGCCTCTGGCTGCTGCCTGGACCTGTCACCGCCGAATAAACAGACCACCATCTGCCGGGTGTGCAACTGGGAGACTGGGACTCATCCCGACTTCTCTCCCACCCTCCATCGGCCCCCAGATCCCTCGGCATCGGCTTCCCAAATCTCCTGTCCTCACTGCATGCCTGGGAGACCACAAAGGTCCTCTGCCCTTCTCAAAGTCCCAGCCACGGGGATCTTTTCTGAACCCCACTCCCTGCTGTGCTGAGAGTCTTCCAGCAGCCGCAGAATGAAGTCCACATCCCTGGTGAGAACCCATGAGGCCCTGCTTGGCCAGGCACCACCCTCTCCGCACAGCGCCCCAGCAGTGCAGGGTGGGGGCGGGGCTGCAAGGCCCCAAGGGTGCCACAGCCCACACCGGCACCCATGCCTAGGTGCCACGGCACACTGGGTGTTGTTCTACCCCAGATGGCCTGTGCCTGGTCTGAGGCATCTGTCCCCTCTTGCCAGGCTCCTGACCCAGATGGTAACTCTCCAGGGCTGGGGGAGGGCTGTGCCTCACCAGGTGCTTGGCAGGTGGGAGGCCAGTTCCTGCTTAGTCAATGGGTGAGTGAGCAGCCTCTCCTGCCTCCAAAAAGAAAACAGGTAGGCTCAACTTTCAGGAGATTCCTTCTCTAAATGCTGCCTTGAACAACTAAGAGCAGAAAGGGGTTTCCCTCCCAGGAGAGAACCAGCTCCCTACCCCTGGAGTGTGTAGGGGATGGGGTGTCGGGGAGACCCACAGCTGACACTGGAATAAAGCGGGGTCACAGAGAGCGCGAGATTATACCCATGACCCAGGGAGGAGACAGGACCAGAGACACTAAGCCTCTTGTTGAGGTCCCACTGTGAATTAGGGCCAGAAGCAAGACGAGGCTGAGCCTCTCTGCCAATACCCAGGTCTCCGGGGCAGACGCCCCAGCAGCTCCGGGCGCAAGCACCACCCCCGCCATCCCCTGTGTGCCCCACCCGCATCGCAACGCTGTAACTGCTCCGAAAGAAGGAGGGGCAAGCAGGACCGAGAAGCTGGAGAGGCCCCGGAATGCGCCTCCGAGAGCCTGCCTGGGAAACGGACGGACGCCGGGGTGAGGAGCGCTGGCATCCAGCCATCTGTCCCAGAGAAGCTGGCCAACTGGTCTTCAGGGACGCCGGGCCCAAGATCCCCCCACTGCCCCGCTCCCGTTCCCTCTGGGCGGAGTCCGGGTCCCGGTCCTCACCCGCGGGATGCTGTTCCCCGCCATGGCCACAAGGGGCGGGCTGCTCCTTGCAAAAACCAAAACGGAGGCGGCGCCCACGAGGATACCAAATGGGACCCCAGCCAGCCTTGGTGGAGCGCGTACTACGTGCCAAGCGCTTCCATGCCTCACCTCGTTGAAGGCTCACAACGCTACTCCTTTATACAGGAGGACACTGGGGCTGGGGGAATTAAGTGACGCCTCAGCAGCTGGCATTTGACCCAGCAGGGCCAAATTCGAGTCTCCCCAGCTTCAGATCCTGAGCTCTTTGCACTGTAACCAGACTGGGTGGTGGGAAGACCCAGGAGGTCACAGACTGGGACGGTGTCTCCTTCCGCTGGGCATCCCAGACTCAGTCCTGGCATGTGCCAGGCGTCAATGTTTACATCAAGTACAAAGAAAGAAATCAGAGACTCACAAGGTTTGGGGGCTCATCCCTCCACCCTTTCCACCCCTCTTTGGGCCAAAGGACATATTGAGACCCCGAGAGAGGAAATGAATTGCCCCTAATTACCCAGCTGGTGGCAGATGTCAAAAGGGGGTCTGTGCATCCTCCCTCCACGGCTCCCCCCGCCCCAAGTTCCTAAAGTTCAAGATGTCAGGGCCATGCGAAGGATTCTGAGGACGTACAAGTGTTTTTTAAAACGTGCTCTATTTTCAATTTCCCAAATTAACACAACTGGATTCTGAAACGAAAAAAAACATCCTCACTATAACTGGACCTCTTCCTGAAACAAATAAAAAAAAAATTTTTTTTTTAAATAAAGGGGGAACTGAAATGTTGGCAGAAGCCAAAAAGGGAAGCAGACCCTTGACTTTCACACATTATCTCATTTGACCCCCAAGCTTCTAGGAGAAGGGCTCCCAGGGCTGCCTGCAGGTCCACCACTCCATATCCCCAAGCGTTTCGGAATGGTGCGGCTGTTAGGTAATACGGCGCACACACCTGCCAGCAAGGCTTGGGGCAGCACACCGTGATCAAGTTCATCTGCATTTCTGCCGGAGAACTAAATGTCATAAATAAAGACCACCAACGGCTTCCCACGGGCTCAAGTCAAATTTTGCCACCAACTGAGTTAGGGAACACATTCGGGCTCCAGGGAGCTTCAGCATTCCGTAACTGCAGATAAGCGATTGGGAGCCTGCGCCCCTCGGGTTTCGCGGGTGAGGAAAGTGAGGCGCGGTGTGAAGGGGCTCGTCCACAGCCGGCGGACACTGCTGCTCAGCGTCGAGCCGGACGCTAAGCCGAGGAGGGGGCGGTCTCCTCGCGCCCCTGCTCCCCGCCCGCCTCCCCGCTCCCCGGTTCCCCGGCTCCCCGTACCTGCTGCGGGCGCTCCTCCCGCGGCGGGCCGCGCACGTCCTGGATGGCCTCATAGACGTTCTCGGAGTCGCTGCGCGCCAGGGGTCGCGGGCACACCCAGGAGCCCGCCACGCTGCAGGCCTTGAAGCTGCCCGCGCTCCCGAGGAGGCCGGCGGGGGGCGCGACGGCGGCGCGCGCCAGGTCGTCCAGGGACTGCGCGGGCCGCACGGGCGCCGCGGGCCGCGTGTACAGGCAGGCGGGCAGGCCCGGCGCCAGGCTGCTGCGCTGGGTCTCCGCGCCGCGCCGCGCGGGGCAGCACAGGGAGCTCACGCGGCCCCGGGGCTTGGCGGGCGTGCCGTCGGGGCCCGCGGGCGCCGGCGCGCTCACGAAGCGGTAGTCGTAGGCCAGCGGCTCGGGGGCTGCCGGGCCCGGGCGGAGCGCGGGTGGCGGCGAGGCGGTGGCGGGGTCCCCGAGCGCCGGCAGCTCGCGCACATACTGCGCGGGCAGGTAGAAGGGGCGGCCGCCGGGCTCGCGCCGGACGTGCCACCAGTGCTCCGTGCTGCGGCGCAGCAGCCGGTAGCGCTCGTTGGGCTGGATGGCGACGCGGCGCCCGTCCTTGCCCGTGTACTCGAAGGGATGCTCCACCAGCACGTACACGTCCCCCTCGACGTCCGCCGCCATCGCGGCCGTGGCGTTTCTCTGTGGGCGACAAGGAGGAGGGGCGCGGGGGTCAGGGCCACCGAGCCGGGAGGCGCGCCGCACGAGGAGGACAAAGACTTGATTGAGTTCGAGTCCCGATGCTGCATTCCTCGTGTGCGTTAGGGCCTCAGTTTTCCTATCTCAAAAACGGGGGACTTGGCTAAAATAATCTCGAAGGTTCCCATTCTTACACTCGCTAATGGAATTATGACACTTTCATTCTGTGGCATTGGTTATGCTTTGAGCCTCGATTCAATCCCTTGGTGGGGAGATCGTGGGTAATACTACTCCAACTTTACAGCCAAGTAAGCCTTGCCTCAAAGAGATGCGAGAGATAAGTCGACACCACATTTGCCTAAAAAGTTGACTGGGCCTCAGTTTCCCGGTCTGCGACGTGCGGAAAACAGCCCATTCCCTCCGCGCCCCCCGCCCCGCCCCGCCCAGACGCCACCAGCCCTCAGGAAATCCGGGCCCGCAGAGCCTCTTCCCTTCTCCAGGCTTCTGCGCCCCGGGCCTGCCGGGTCAGAGTTGAGGCGCGGGGCTCTAGGTGCCGCCCCGGCGCCGCTCTACGCCGGGAGTATCCCTGCTTCCCGTAGTCCAAGGGCCTTGGCCTAAGAGACCGGGACTGCTAAGGCCGGGGAACCGGTTCTCTCGGTTTCTTTTCCTTCCCCGGCGGCTTTGCCGCGGACGTGAACCCGGAGCTTGGCCCGCCCAGACCAGCCCGCGCCGCCCCCGGTTCTCCGGCTCCCACCTCCGCCTCCCACCTCCGCCTCCCGAGCGCGGCTCCGCCCTCGCGGCCTGCCCACCTGCCCTGTGATCTCCGCATCGCCCCCCGGGAGCGGCCCCTAGAGAATGCACTTTGTGAGTGACTACCCATGCGGTGTCCTCCCCCACGCTCTCCCGGAGTGATCGCCCCAACCCACCCCTCGGCATGCCAGCTTAGCCTGGCTCTTGGTGTGGCGGGGTCGGGGACTAACTCTAAGTCCGCCTGTGTCTCCCCACCACAGAGATTAATGAGGCTCCTTCCCTAAGGGGCTGGTCCCTCCAAGCCTTTGCACCGACCCCATCTCCTGCCCAGTAAAGGTGTCCCGGGAGCAGCAGCTGGGGGTTCGGTTGCTTGCTGAGGCTGAGGAACCCAAGGAACAGGGTCTGGCCGGGGGCTCACAGCGCTCCTTCACTACTTTCTTAAGCTTGCCTCGACGGGGAGAGGGGGGCACACTGGGCCCTGGAGGTGTAGTCAGTGAGCTGCCCGGAGCTAAGCCGACAGGCCCCTGGGAGGATACCCCTTCTCGTCACCTTCGCCCGCACCCCCGCCGCTCACTCACGTTGGCAGGGCAGGTCTCTGCGGGCCCATGGGCTGGACGGGCGGAGCCAGCGGATGGATGCAGGTTAGGCCCCGGCCATCTCCTTGGGCGGGGCTTGCAAGGGCTGGGCCGGGGAGACCTCGGGGCGCAGGAGCTGGCAAGGGGAGCAAAGAGGGAGAGGGATGCTCAGGAGGGCTGCCCCCAATCCCCATCGCGGCTGTATCCGGGAGGGGCGAGGAGGAGCTTGAACGAGTGTCTGGGCCCGTGGGGACGTTGGGTGGCAGTGGGGCCCAGGGCAAGAGGGGGCGGGAACTGGAAGGGCTGCGACTGAAGGGGTGCTGCCGGGCGGCGAGCAGAGCCCGAGGTGGGTAGGGTCCCACCCCTTTGGTGTCCCCCCCCCCCCCCCCCCCCCCGCCGCGGGATTTGTTGTCCTCGAGGCTCTGCGTCCCGCGGGCGCGCTGCTCTGGGACTGCCCGACCTCGGTTCGTTGCCTCGTCCGGGCGTTCCCACACCAAGCGAAGCCATCTGCACTTCGAATCACTGACTACCGGGCCCTTTCCAGCCTGAGTGCCGGCACTACTCCCTTCGTACCCACCTCCGCCCTCCCCAGGCCCTTTCCGGGCGCAACTTGGCGGGGCCTGGAAAAACTCCGAGCGGAGTTCCCGCAGCAGGGATGCCCACTCGAGCGCAGGGTCTCGGGCTGGGTGGGGAGGAGACCCGGGACTCGGCTCCTTCCCCATCTCAGGGGGAGCGAAGAGGTGCGGAGGGATAAGGGGAGCGGGGAGGATCCCAGGAACTCGGGGTCTGACCCGTCGCCAGGAGGTGCTTTGGGTCCACTGCCCCGGGCGACGCGAGCCACAGCGGCGTCAACGCCTGGATCGGAGCCGGGGGCCTGGACATGGGCCCCTCCTGTCCCTGGACTGCGGGCAGCCCTTCTTATCTCCGCTGCTCGCGGGGGATCCGACCCGCGCGGCCCTGCTCCCGGGTCCGCGCAGCTCCCGCCCCAGCGCCGGCTGAAGGGGAGCAGGCGCGCGGCGCTCCCGGGTGAGAAGGCCCGCCACCTGCGGCACGGTACCCCCCCTCCCGCCCTCGGCTCAGCGCCCCCCGCCCGGCCCGGCCTCGGCACCTCGGGGTGTCCGCTCACTGGCTTCGCCTCCACTTGTCCCGGCAGGCGCGCGTGGTTTCGGCGTCCGACGCTCCCTGCTCCACCGCCCAGCTCCCGCGCAGCCCGGTTTCCTGTTCAACAATACAGCGAGGGAGGCACCAGCGGAGAGCGCCCGGCAGAACTTCCTCCCGGGCTGAGGCAGGGCTGCGGCTGCTAGAGACAATCCCCGGTGTCCTGGCTTCCTGTCCCCCCCTGGGCCGGGCCAGCGCCCTGGGAGCACAGACGCCGCCCTCCCCCTGCACCTCCTGGGATCCTGGGCCACACCTGGCTGTCTTCTGGGAGGTGGAAACAGCAGGGCCTGGATGATGGCATGGGGGCTGGGGGGGTGTCTCCTCCACTACTTCTGGCCAGATTTCCCTCCCACTGTTTGATTCCATCCCTCTGTCTCCCCCCCCACCCCCATCCTTCTCTGGAAGACGGCCACCCTCCAGGCTGTCCATAGGGTAAGCCCAGAGCAGCCTGCTGGAACTGGACTCTTAGCACTTCAATTTTCTCTGCTGTAGACTGGGGACGGTGACGCCTCCTTCACAGGACAGTTGGCAAGAATGAATGAGAATGAGCTGCACTAAGCACGGTATAGTATTACCACATTATTATTGTAAGAACACATATTCGTTATTAAATTTTTATTGTAAGATGAGCTGTCTTCCTCTTTGGTCTTGGGTTGAGGTCTCCAAGCCCCCCATTCTCCTTTAGGCAGGAGGGGGAAAGGGAGAGAGGCATGTAGTCAGAGGCATCTTACTGAGGATGGAGGCACTGAGAAAAAAGGCAGGGAGGCACCCAGGCCTCATGGCCCTGAACTCCCTGTCCCCAGGCTTCAAACCCAGTTCCTTTGGTCTTCTCAGAGTCCACCCCCTACTGACCCTGGAGGGACTTGAGGCCCTTGAGGGAAGCTGGGGCTCAGGCGATGCTTCTCCATGGGCTGAAAGGCGTCTTCAAGGACAAGGAACTGCAAAGCTGAATGTTTCAATCCCATTTTCCTGCGGCCCACTTTCCCTGGAACGTCTGTTTCCTTCTGTCCTTACCAGAGTGGTGGGCTCCTCCTGGAACTTCAGGGGAAAGTAGCAGCCAAGTAAATGCCACGTGGAGCCCTGAAACCATGAGCCCTGATTCCGGCCTCGAGCCCCCTCTCTTGCTTTGGAAAACCCAGCGGGAAAACAGTCCCGACATCTCTCCTGTTCTGGTGTTAGGGGTCTGTGCTTCGACAGGCACGGTGAAGAAGCCCCTGTGGTGGGATGTCAGGCATCAGCTTCAGTTGTTACATATGAGTGTATGTGAGGAAACCTCCACCAAGGCCCTGAAATGCTATCCCTCCAAACCCCCTTCGTCTAGCTCATAGTGGGGAGAGGACAGACCGAACACTGTCACCTCTCCTCCCCTGCATGCCCAGGCCTGGTGCACAAGCCCCCCTCTCCCAGACAGGATGGCTGGTGGCCTCCCCCAACCAGCGGCAGCATCAGGATTCAGAAGCGAGACCAGAGGTGAGAAAAATCAGGTCTTTACTGCAAAATCATTCAAAAATCACACAGCAGCAGTTCCTTCCACACATCGCAAAGCGCTACTCAGGGCCAGCACCCCTCACTAGAAAGTTTATTGCATAAAATGGCATTTTAAAAATAGTGGGGGCACCACTGAGTTTCACATCAGCTTTCCATTGAAGGTGAGAGGGTAAAAGTCAACTCATCCGGAAGCATTAGCAGCTTTCTGGTACTGGGCAGAGGGTCAGTTCTAATGCTACAACTAGTCCCTGGGAGGCGGCCGTGGGGTGGACAGGCCCTACCCAACCTAAGCCAGCCCTCCAGGGCTGGCCCCAGGGGTGGCACTGCCCATCCCAGGCCAGCCCCTGTCCGCGTGGGGATTGGGGCCCCCGCGGCTGTGCTCGGGCTGGGTTTGTGGGGGAGCATTAACGCTGGCTGTGGGGCTGCGGGACCGGGATAAGGATCCACTTTCCCATTTAGGAGGCTTTGGTGTGCTGGGCAAAGGTATGCACCATCTTCCGTGATGGGGACAGAGAAGCTGTGTGGCAGCCCTCCCCTCCCCCACCCCTGCCCACCACCTCCTCTGTTCTATTGCACAATTTATCCAGCTCCACAGGGCTGGGCAGGTGACTCAGCAGCCGAATCACCCCAAGGGAGAGGTGGGAGTAGATTCATCTCTTGACAGTGACGGGCAATCTCCACCTGAGGCCCCCAATCCAAGCTGAGAGCAGACAGGATGGCCAGAGGACCCAGGGTGGGAGGTGGGCGGCTGTGGGTCCAGGAGAGATGGGGGAAGGCAGCAATCACCCCCGAACCACAGGGTCTAAATGTCACTTTGAAAACAATTCCAGGCTCCCACTCTACCCCAAGACCCCTTGAAAAGGCAATCACGCTCCAGTGACATTTTCCAGTCTCCGGCAGCGCCCCTCCTGGGCCAGGCCAGCAAAGCTTTGGGAATTCATGGCTTTGTAAACTGAGGCTAAGCATCCTTCCACAAGGTGGCTGCTCCCGCGTGTCTCCGTACATCTCCGCAGCACGCCTGGCCCTCTTCGTGGAAGGCTGGGGGTTGCCACTCCACGGTGTGGGGCCTGGCAGTCACGATGCCCAAGGCTGGCCCCTGGCCCCAGCTCACCTCTGTCCCAGCAGGGGTCAGTCAGGCAGTGGGGCAGGGGGGGGTGTCCCCCTGAGAGCGTGTCTCCAGCAGCCCCCGGCCCATCTGGCTGCATGGCTGCGGGAGGTGTGGAGGGCAGGGGGCTGAGGGGTAGGGAAGATGACAGCCCTGGCCTGGACCAAGGAAGGCGCAAAGTGCTGACAGTGCTGGTTCTGAGTCACTCCCTTCTCCCGTGGTGACCGAGATCCCAGGCTGTAGGGGAGCCAGGGGGCTCTGACCCGGAGAAAGGTGAGGTGGACAGGGCAGGGCGGAGAGGGAGAGGGAGAGGGTGGTCATCAGGACCGGTCCCACCAGCCCCTGGGGCAGTTTGGCACGTCGTACTTGAGCTGTGGGCAGCGAGGGCCCGGTGCGGGTGACGGAAAGGCACCCGGTCCAGCCGACAGGCTCTGGCCCAACGGTGGCCTGCCCACCCTGCCACCCGCCGGCCTGCAGGCCAAATGTTCCCACACGTTTGCTCCGCGTGAGAACGCCTGGATTTCTTGGGTGACTTGTGTAGGGTCAAGAATAAAAAAATATTTTCTGTTGAAATATGAAGGGAAAAAAAAAAAACCTGCCTTAAAAAACTAGACCTTTTAATCAGGAATGTGGAATTGAGAATGCGCCCAAGTTTGTGTCCACAGTGTTTGAACAGCCCTGATGGAGGTGCCGCGTCTGTGAGGCGAGCTGGGGCCTGATGAGTGCAAAGCTGCCCTGCCCGTCTCCCCTGCGCCGAGGGCGCATCTGATGGTGTCCCCACCTCTTGGAGCAGACGGGTGGGAGAGGGACTGGGGGACATCATCGAGGGCCTCGTCTGGTGGGCTCGTGCACTGGTCCCATCTGAGTCTTCCTGACACCTCGAGAGGATCCAGGCTGATGCCGAACCCAGCTGGGACGGCCCAGCTGAGCGGGGTGCCGCCGTCCGAGGGCTTGGGTGGGGACGGCACGCTGGCTTAGCTGAGCGTGCTCTGCTCCTGGTACCTGCGCCGGCGGGCGCAGCGGGGGCAGCCCTTCTTCACCACGGCCTGGCAGCTCTGGTGGAAGACTGTCTTGCACTCACCACACCTGGAGGAGGGCAGCCAGTGTCTGACCAGAGCCCTGGGGGGGGGGGGATGGGGCCCGAGTTCCGCCCCTGCCCGCCCCCCACCCCAGCGTGCACTGCCTTCCCACTGCCAGACCCCCGACCGCCCCCCCGCCCCCAGGCACTGACACTCGAGTCTAATTCATTTTTCCCACATGCTGCTGGAGACTCATGAGATGACTCCTGGCCTATGTTGAAAACACTCTGCCGTTTAAAAAACGGAGCCCAGGGGCTGAATCTAGGCCATGAGACACCTCCTGAAAACGAATGAATGTTCCTGCCTGGGCTGGAATGGAGGTTTGGTGGATGAATTTTTCCACTAAGAGGCTTCTGATAAGGAGTGCTAACCAGCTAAGAACCATCATCAATGCCGGGGCGAACCAGGCGGGTGCCAGCCCCTGGGGGCCCACTTTGTGCCTAGCCTGTGCCAACACTCCAGGGCGGCCGCTCCTTCGGTCCCTCCTCAACCCATCTGTAGATGACAGAACTGAGGCCCCTGCTCAAAGACGCGGCAAGCTACCTCTTCTCCAGGGAGACAGACAGCTCCCTTGGTCTGGGGAAGGGTCCTCGGAGGGCTCTCTTGTCCCCTGAGCTGGCCCAGAGCCGCTGTGAATGCCCAGGACATCGGCTGCTGTAGATGACCTCACCAGCCCGCGGCACCAGCACACACACGGCGTCCCCTGTGCGCCTGCACCCCCGGAACGCTGGGGCCAGCCGTGGGGAGGGCGTCCCGCATACCTGACCGTGGTGTCAAACTCGAAGGGGAAGATGATGTCGTGGTGGTGGCAGATCTGGCAGATGAAGCCACGCTGGGTGCACAGGTCGCAGTGGTAGACGTGCTGGGAGGCGAATCCGATGAGGGCATTGAGGAACCCAGCGTACACCCCGTCTGCGATCTGTGGAGGGCAAGGGCGGGGGCCGCCAGGCCTTTCAGGCAGCTGCGCTGAGGCCCAGGCTGTCCAGACAGTGTGACCTGCTGCTGTTCCTGGCACTCTGCCTGAACAAGGTCCTACCCCCGAAGAAGGCTCTCCCCATTTGGGCAAGAAAAGCTCCCCGGACCAGGCCGAAGGATGTGGGTGTCCAGCTCCTGCATGCAGAGGTCCCTGGGGATGACTGGCTTGCCAGAGGAAATCCAAATCCACAGCGCCCTTCTGCCAGGAAAGGAATGTCCCCAGCTCTCACCCCCGGGGGGGCCTCCCTGCCCCCCTGCCCTCCTGCTGGGGATGGGCCTGAAAAGCTGCAGCACCCCCCCCACCCCCCTGCGTCCCCCTCTCTGATTTCTCCAGGAATGAGGCCCCTCTAAGAGAGGTCTGGGGGTCGGGGAGGGCACTCTCACCTGCTGGAGGTCGGCAACACTGTACTTGTGGGGAGACCCCAAGAGGTAATTCCTGTGGTTGAGCCTTCAAACAAAACATAAGAGGCTCTTTATAAGGCTTTCCATGATCCGGCCCAACCTGTGTTTGTTTTCATTCCTTCAGCTGCTAACAGGGTATGAGCACCTGGCCAGGGCAGTCCCTAAAGAGCACGGTGGGCTGCCTGGGTTGGGGACCTGGTCTTCCAGGTGACCTGGGGCAAATTACTCAGCCTCTCTGTGCCTCAAGCTTCCTCAACTGAGAAATGGAGCTGTTTTGAGGATTAAATAATTTATTCAAAGCATTTGGCACTGTGCTCAGCACACAGTAAACAATG